AGTTTCAGCAGATGCAAAATAATGCACACAAAAAATGATTTGGAATTTGCAGAACAAATAAGCAAACAGTACTAGAATAACCCAAAGAAACATGTATTACATAGGGCTTTTCTTTTTGTAAGGGGTCAAAATCTGGTCAAATCTAGCGTATTGTTTCAATTTAAGCAAATAAAATCAATATGGCCAGGGAAGCAAAGTGCACAGAAATTTTAATTAGTTAGGTTTCTTTTTCTCTTTTTAAATTTCTGTCTCAGACAAGTACTGTTAGCTGACAAGAAATATGGCATTCCTCACCTAATACAGTAAACAAACAAAACAAAACAAAAACCCTCTCTTAATCACTACTAGACAGCCTCTAGACAATACATTCCTGCAAGGAATTGTAAGTGAAAGGATTGGATGCCACTTTGTTAATGAAACTTAAAGAATAGATTGTCAGGCATACCGGGAGTTTCAGATGCATTTCTGAATTCACATCTGTGGGAGTTGTGGATTGTCACAGTTCATTTGCTTTTGTAAAATATCCACAATTTGCTGACAAGCAACTTCAAAAGTCCATTCAGGATTGGGTGGGTGGTGGACCCCTTTCGGTATTTTTTAAAGTAAGTGTTCTTTTGCTACTGTAATATTGAGCTGGTGAAGAAAAAGAATGGAATTCTAAAATAAATAGTAAAACATAAAACACTTCATACAGAGTAATTTGATGTGCCATTAGTTGTACAATTACTTCAACTGACAAATACATATTATAAAGAAAATCAGAAACAAAATGCTTTGTTATGAAACTCTTAAGCACCCATGACTCCATGTTGGTAATTCCTTTGGGAAGTGCCATTTAACATTTTTTTGGTTTATTTTCAGTGTGGTACAGGTCCTTGCAACTGCATTGCCTTAAAAAATTAATTATACCAGGAGTCACAGAATTAAACTGAAGGCCTTTAAAAATCAGTAAAGACTATATTTAAAAATAAATGCATCATTATTAAAATCTAGTAGTTGTGTTTACCAGGCCAAAAAAGGGGGGGAAAGGCCTTCAAACAAAACAAATCAAAGAAATTTTGTTTACCTTGTCTGGTTTAAGTCGCCAGTTTACCAGTGTAAAGTACTTGGGAATGCTAGCATATTTCTCAAAGAAGAACATACAGGAATAGAGCTGTTTTCTGTATATTATGTCCAAGTTGGACATTGATGAAGGTCTAAACAGTGCATAATTTTAAGTTATTTTAGGCGGTCTTGCGTTATGAGTACAATTAAAAGTCCATCAGTATCCCAAGTACTCCTACATTATCTACCCTGCCACACTTCGCTAATGCATCTTCTCATTTAGGTTGCTAATACTGTTCAGTGTAAAGACAGTCTTTCTGAGGTAGACTGTTCAAGTTCAAGGACAAGTCTTTTTCTTAGGAAATGCATGACATTCAAAAAAAGACAACAAATAAATACTACATGTACAATATGTAGCAATGAGGTAGAAATGGTTATAAAGAACAACGTTTGAATATGTCAGATGAAAAAAGAAAAAAAAGAAAATGAATTTCTCTAGCAACTGTATATAATTCAAAAGAAACACACATACATGCACGTGATATTTGCACACGTGCGCGGGCATGCGCACACACACGCACACACACACACACACACACACACAGGAGGAAGGAAAAAGTGGCTGAGAGGAAGCAAAGACAGAAGAATTAGAGAATGTGAGAGAGGTATTAAAGAATAGTTTTAAGCCTGGAAATAAACTTCGGGTTTTTTGTTTTGTTTTGTCTTTGTACCAGAAGACAACAAGAAAGAATGAATGTGCTCCCAACCTTGGTGTACTACAGATCATTTTATAAATATTTAACATTCTATAGAACTGATTCATATATTCTTACACAACTCTCTGGCAAGGCTGACCCATGCTGCCGACATTCTACATATCACTGAGACAGGGAGGTGAAATTTTCCTGCTTTCAGTCTAATTGTCTTTGACAATTGCAGTGCCTAGTGCTACACTGCTTGTGTTGTATTTAAAAACAGGGGAAAGTGGAGAGACTTGTTCATTAAAGATGCAGTATCCCTGGTTCACACAAATGCATCTGGCAGGTTCAAAATCGAATGTCAACCAGAGGTCTTAGCAGAGTGTGAGTTTCAGTTCATGGTGTTAGTTAGTCACAAGTATAGCTGGTTTTAAATTCCAAAATACTAATAGCTTAAGTTTGCTAATGTGCTTTATAGGGAAATCTGCAGGTGGTTCAATAAATGAAGATTTTACTTTTCAAAAGAAAAAAAAACACCTGAAACATAGAACTGTAAAGTAGTCACATATTCTGAACACATGAGGAAAGGAAGTAATCAGTTGCTCTGGCAAATAAAAAGGAGATGTTAGTTTAAGTGGTGGTGAAAATTGCACACATATACGCACACACAAACATACACACTATATATATTTATATATATATATTAGAACTTTACTTTAGTGGTCTCAATAGTTCAACAAACTGTGTCCCTTTTACTTTGAAAAATACTGTTTCCATGATCATGATACTTGATGCTTGCTAAGAAACTTGACAATGAGATGATAGAAGTATCTTTCTGCTTGTATTTGGATGGACACATTTTCAGGAAAAGAAATTCTAAATGCCTCTAAAACATATTTTCCAACCCACAAATATATTTAAATTTACAAGAACCTATTGCAGGAATTAATTTGGACTTTTTTTTTTGGATGTATTCTTTTGAAAACTGCATAGCCAAGTACTATGCAATCCATGTAAATTGACCTTGCTACTTTACATAGCATAGCCTCTGGATAGCTTTTATCACTTGCCCAGATGGTGTTTGGCCTATGTATTTTAGTGGAATGGTTTATTTTCTCCTTGATAGGTTTCAAATGCACAAGAAAACATTATACCCGTCTATCTGCATTTGAGTAGAATACAAACTGACTAATAGATAAACATTCTGTGTGAAAGTAAATAGCCTTAAAGTATACTGCCTTCACATTCCATTGATCAGCTCAGTCAGCAAAGTTTTCCATATTGTCACTAATGTTCTAAATATTTTGGTGAGAAGCATGCCAGCAGAGTAGAGTATTTCCATTTGTGTCACACATAAGGTCATTATGAACTGCCTCTTGAATTTCTATTGATCCTTCTACTGAAGTAGTTTACTTCACTTCCTTTTTGTTCTCATTGGAAATGCTATTTGCAGTTGTGAAGAAGAGAATTAGGGGCTGGTAAGTGGACAGGCTCAGTCTTCTGGCTAGACAGCAAGGAGTTGGATGGGCTCATTACCTTACCTTCATTAGTTGCCTTGTCCAAATATTTAGCAGTCAAAAGATGCCATTAGGATGAAACCTGGATTACTCAGTTTCTACTATCACTGACTGTACACATTCACTTCTGAGGATGTGGTTCCCTATCCTCCTCCTTAGAGGGATGGGTCACAGAAGAGTGGATTATTAGGCTAGGCCATAGAATAGCTCCTAATGCTACTAGCAGAATCAAAGAATCACAAAAGGGCACCGTTCTACTCAAAGGTCAGCCTATCTCCTCCAACAGATCTTCATTTCTGCAGCAGGCCCAATTTCCTAACAGACCAAATTGTAAGAGTCATAAGGCTAAATGAAATTCACACACATCGGCTTCTGCCTAACTTCATGGAGTTCTGACCAATAATATCGCAAAAGTAATTTTTAAGTCATTTAAAGCTAAAAAGCCAGTATGCATGACTTTAATTTATCTTCCATTTTCTAAATGAGAGTAAAACACAATAGTGCAGTCATATATTTGGCATTGACTATTAAGAGCCACACAAAAATGTGGGTCAATATTGGATTTCCCAAAGTTGTCTAAATAAGACTGGGTTTGTCAAAACTTGCCAGTCGCTTTCAAATGAACACAGCATGTTGGCGGAAATAAAATGTAATGTCTAAAGACAGAAAATAGGTCAGCAGTGTGCAAAAGTAAACTTGTCAGTGAGATCAATATGAACCTATAAGTTAATGGGAAAATTAGAATTTCTATAAAACAAGGGCCGGGCAGGGTAGAACTAGAACACGACTGTAGCAATTTTTCATGGTAAAACGCAGAGGACATCCTTAAATATTATTTTTTGTATCCTTGATAAAGGCACTGCTCTTAAATATAGAATATTTAATATGTAAGCTCAATTTTAATTAACAGAGTGTCATAATAAATTAAACTGTGGTCCATTCACTTAGTGTATAGCAACATGGAAAATGAAAAAAAAAGGAAAGTAATAAAATAGTATAAAATGTCATAAATATGATGTTTTTCACAGCTTTCCCTATGTTGAGCATTTCAGATAATTTGACACTACAGGTAAAATCAATAAATTTTTTTAAGGAATAAAAAACAATAACATCAAGACGTTTCTTGGGGCTTCTCATTGCATTTATTTAAAAAAAATTTTTTTTAAAAAAAAGTACATCACTTTTTGATTACATAAAATGCCAGTGCTTTGCAAGTCTTGTTACTGCATTCCTCATTCCACTTTAAAAAGAAAAAAAGAAAAAAGAAAAAAAGAAAGAGAGGGAAAAAAAGAAAAGGAAAGAGGGAAAAAAAACAACAACAAGAAAATCACATTCAAAAGCCAGGCTGTTCTGCTTATGCACAGGCAGAAGCTTTGGAAAGCTACAGCCCACACTGTGTCTGTTCAGAAGCTCTGCCGAATGTCAGCCAGCTAGCAATGAAAAGTTGCACACAAAGCATTAAAGGATACAAAGAACAACATGGTGGGGAGCAAGAGAAGAGAGGAATGATGAAACATACCTACCACATAGAATATTTGGCAGGGGAGGAATCGAGTTGGAAGGAAGCATGAAGATTGATGTTTCTAGAAACTGTATTTACGAAGACAGGAGGGAAAAAAAGTACCATATATGGGAAGCTATTCTGTGCGTGTTGTGTGTTCACTTTCAATTTTTTTCAAACTTTTTTTGTTTTGTTTTGTTTTTCAAGAGAAAGATAATAAAACTGAGGTAGAAATGAATGTGGGAGCATAACAGCCCAGAAGATTTCAAAATGAGAAGCAAAATTGCACTGACAAGGAGTCAAAAAGAAGGGGATGAAGACATTCTCTGTGGATATACATATATGTGTATGTATAGATATATATGTATATATCATATATATACACGCACTATGTGTGTGTGTGTGTTTGTTGGTTTGTTTGGCTGCGATCTTTTGCATTCTATCAAACAGCACAGCAAGCCTATATGCTAGATTAGTGAATAGAATGACACCATTCCCAGCAGTTTCAAGAGAGAACTTGCAAACCACCACCACCACCACCACCAGCACCCCTAATGCGGTAAAAGGCAGTCCTAGTTTTCAGGTACTGTGACTTTCAGGGTCTGAAACAGGTCTTGTGGCTGACAGTTCTAGACACTAACACAAACTGAATAAAGTAGCTTTCCATTAACCAGTGTACCTTTTAAGAACAGTTTCACTTAATATCAAGGAGCAATGGACGAAGAACTTTTGTAGTTATTGACATAAAGAATGATTCTGCTCTGGTTAATTCCCCCAAATTAGTAAAAGACCATTTTTTGTTTAAATTCTTCCATTTCTATTTTAAATTGTACATATTCAGTTGAACCACACATCAGTATTTTTCAGGATACATTCAAAGAAATTTTCCTTGCGATTTTCCAATTGTTGAGGTAAACATACATTTTAATATAAAGTAACATTGAAGCCTATCCCATTACTCTCAGCAGTACATAGTGCTTTTCAACACATTCCTTTGAGGTACTGTACAAATCACAATCGCTTTCCTGAGTTTTTGCAGACAAGAACGTTAAAAGAAATGAACTGCAGAAATTAAGGTCCAGATTACCGTTACCCTGTTTTACCTGTTCTTAGTTTAATACTGCAGAACAGACAGGATTGAGGAATACTGTTGCTCTTAAAATGGCAAAAATCTGGTTTTCTGTAGTAACACAATCGTTCATCTCTTTAGTCCAATAATGTTTGAAGTTAAAGCTCTTTATATTAGCACATGCCACCAATGTAATTGTGAGGCAAACAAAAAATAAAGCACCACTCCAGGCACTTGACAGCAACTAAATCTTGATAACAGCAGAATGGAATCAACACACGAGGTTCATGTCCTTCTGAAATCAACACACTTGCACCTTGCTCCTTGGTGAGTGTTGTCTAGCTTGAACTGAACTGAGCATCAACAGATGCTTTCTGTCATCTGGGGCATTCAAATCTGAATCTCTCACTTGATGCAATTTTTCCTCCAAATCTACCCTGACTCTAAATATGGAACTTATTTTTCATCTTTCCCCAGTACCCTTTGCAATTTAAACACTACTGGAAAGGGGCTCTATACCCTATTTAGCAGGTTTTATGTGTGTGTGCCAACATTCATTACATTTATTTTTAAAGAAGTCATCACTGACTGCAACCAAACATTTTGTTCCATTCAATATACATATCAAGCTCTTTTTGAGATATGCTAGGCTGAATCTTGCAGAAAGCATTTTCAAAGTCTTGATACGTAACGGGCCTCAACTGGCTGGGCATAATGGCTGAAAGGTCTGTGGCTGGCATGGTATGGAGGGGGCCCACTGCTGCTTCCTGACACAAATGAGCCACGTCTAGTCCAGAAAAGCCTTCTGTGCGCTGGACGAGCAGTGCAAACTCCTTGTCATTGAGACAGTAATTGTGCTGTGAGAGCAGTTGTACTATTATCTGGTGCCTCGCTGTGCTGTCAGGAAGTGGGATTAAAAGTCGTTTCATGAAGTACCTCCGAAGAGATTCATCTATTTCTTCAGGTTTACTGGTGGCACAAATGACTACGATTTGGTCCTCAGCCGAAGTTAGTACAGTGTCCAGCTGCATCAGAAATTCGGTTCTCACCCGACTGACTGGACTGTGTTCCTCATTCACTTGAGTGGAGAGAAGCATGTCAATGTCACTGACAAAAATGACTGAGGGCTGGCGACACCTGGCCACAAGAAAAGAGGCATGGATGATTTTCTCTGCTTCCCCTACCCACTTGGCAACTAGTCCAGAGCCTGCGATTTTGAAAAAGGTGGCCCCCAACTGACTAGCTATGCATCTGCCCAATAATGTTTTGCCTGTTCCCCGAGGTCCAAATAAAAGGATGCTCCGAGGTAAGGCTGTCAGTCCACTGAATGCATCTGACCTCAGCACTGGCCATAAAACCTCCTCTTTAATGACAGCCTTTACCAGGTCGAGGCCGGCAATGTCATTCCAGTCCACCGGTGGTCCTTGGGTGATAATCTCGTTGGTTACCAGGTCAATGAGGTGTGTGTCAGTATTCTTCAGTTGCTCGTCCACAGAGTGGTTGGATGAGGTAGCTGCACGGAGTCCAGGGCCCTGCATTGGGTGAGAGAGGAGCTGCCGATGCTCGTCCCCATGCTCACTCATTACTGGCGATGTGTACTTCCCAAAGGATTCACTGGATCTCGAGCCCAGTGAATTTTTAGCAGTACTGTAGGAAGGAGGGGTCAGAGCCCTACTAGACTGGCTGCTGAATTTCCTTTGCTGTTCAGAGGACATTAGCTGCTTCGTTGGCTTAAATGCTAAGGATGATGTTTCAGCACTTCTGTCAAAGCCATTCCCCCGATTTGAGTTTGAAATGCTGTTGTCGGGCATTCTGTACATAGGACTCTGTGTAGATCTCTGTTGGCCATAGCTGTAATTTCCGTAACTGGAGTCCATATCTCCTTGCCCTGCCATATAGAAAGCTTTCCTTTTGAGAGAACTTGCCGAGCTGTTTGTCAGAGCTGGAGGTGCAATAGGTGTCAAACCATGACCCTGGTAGGTATAGCCAGGGACAGTGGTAGGGGGCAGGGGTGTAGGAGCAGGAATTCCTGAAGGCAGGTATGCTGAAGGAGGAGGGGGTGCACCCCCAGGGCTGTACCCAGATCCCACAGCAGTCTGAGCAGGATAGCTCGCAGAGGGATAGCTGTAACTGGAGAGGTTAGATGTCCCATTGTAGCCTGGGACCAGGGCTGGAGGTGGTGGAGGAGGTGGTGGAGGCTGCAGGAGTCCGGAGCTATGCAAAGGTGATGGATGAGGTGAAGGAAGTGCAGGTGCTGGTTGGCTACTATAGGTCGAATGCAAATATGATCCATTGTATCCTGGAGCATATTCCTGAGATGGGAGTCCTGCATGAAGACTAGGTACTGAGTGGCTTCCACAGGTGCTACTGGAGTAACTAGGTTCTGTCAGGTTGCTGGCCACCCCAGGAGAGCTTCCTATACTGGCAGAGACATCTGCTGGAGGGAGGGCTGAACTGACTCCAGCTTTGCTGGCAGTGATAACATCTGGAACGCAGTTCATGGGATACACAGCCTCTGAATTCAAGGAAGGCTGCCAGGCTTCGCTGTCATTTTTCCGACCATTCACAAGTCCTGATGGTGCATCTGAGTAATTGCTGAGTACAGGTCGGTCCACAGGGCCTTCCAGAATGCCAGAATACTTCTCTGCATATTTTTTTAGGAGGTTGGATGCAGTCAGAGCAGATATATCATCATTTGCCCAGGCGTACTGATAGGTGCGCTGCAAATGACCTCTGTAGGCTTCAACTTTATGGGCAGGAGACCGGGTTGTTGAAGTGATGTCAAAGTGCTGTTCTGGCCACTGGGCATGCTCCGGCGTCCACTGCATCTTCAAGCCTGAGGATTGGTGGGGAAGAGGAGGAGGGAGAAAGTGTTAATTCATTTAGACACAAAACAGAACTGTTAAGCCCCCATACCCCCTACTTCTTGTTACCTATTCTTTTCCATTAAATGTATTAACATTATGAAGCATTTAAACAGATTATAACTATTGACCATGACAAAATGTACACTTCAACATGGAACAAATTTGTATAAAAAGTATGTTGAATTTAAAAAAGTCTATAGATGACCAATGTGTTTCTTTTTTTAATTTTTAATAGCAAGCAAATCTATCTCTGTTAAACCAATCAATTTACATGGTACACACACACACACACACACACACACACACACATACAAAGACACACAGAGTCACTGATGTAGGTAAATACATTCCTGCCATCTTAGGACTGAACTATAGGATCCTACAGTAAAATATGCATACATTCTAAACAGCTGGTATGTGATGGTATTACATGTGCAACATCCAGCTCTTCTGTCTCTTTCCATCACAATTTCTGTTTTATATTTTAACCAATATAAAAAATGAGACACAGCTGACAGATCACATCTAGGATACCTCTCTTATTTGGTACTGAACACCTAGTTAGCACAGTATAATGCTCCCTGCGCAGAACAATATGACACAGACATAGCAGGTCATTCCATAATCCAACTCTCATCTAAAGTGGTCCACGACAGTTTCAAATCTGCTTCGTGGAGTGCAGCAAAGCAATCTCCCAGGCAGCGCTCCATCGCTTTCATCGCACAAAGACTACAACTCGGTATGAATTACAACTGGTTCCTTTCTGCCTTTCAGTTCTGTTGTTGAGTCTGAAAAAAAAAAAAAACCCATACAAGTAACACTTGTCTGTCGGTCTTCTACCTAGTGTGTTTCCCTCCATTGTGATCCTTCCCTCTATCTTAGAAGGAATAAAGAGGAAAGAATATAAATATATGTATATACATGTATGCATATATAGATATGTTTTATACACACATATGAATACATACAGGGGTGGAAGTAAACGCAGAAATAGAGAATAGAGGACCTGGATTCTAACTACATTTCTGTGGGAATCAGTGTGCAGCATAAACTCCAAGAGTACAACAGATAATAAAATGATATATATCGTTTTCAATATTACTGCAATAACATGAATATGTGGTAAACTCAAAACCAAGTATTTTTTCATTGAAAGGAAAATAATAAGCAGACCAGGGAAATAGTTCAGCAGTACAGTATATCTCTTATTTAAGACTTTGGGTTTGATTACTGGAACCAGTAAGTGTGTGTGTGTGTGTGTGTGTGTGTGTGTGTGTGAGAGAGAGAGAGAGAGAGAGAGAGAGAGAGAGAGAAAGAGAGAGAGAGAGAGAGAGGAGAGACAGAAAGAGAGAAAGAGAGAGAACAAGAGAGACAAGAAGGAAAATAGCAAATAATCAGCAGTTAGAATTCATTCATTTTGAATTTTTATTTTACATTAATTTTGGGATTTTTTTGAATTACAGAGTTTAAATATATTGCACAAATGACCTTATTTTATAGATTAGGGAACCAGTGCCCAAAGAGTTTCACGATGTGCTCACAAGGGCACACGTGCAGTTAGTTACAGAAGGGCATGGAACAGTTCTATTTTCTGGTGCTGGCTCATCCCATTCTAATCTCTGCTTAGAACACTTCCTATTCTGGTACAGCTATATTAAGCAGGTCTTCGTAATCTCTTTTGTATTACCGAAACTGAATTCTGCAAACCTTCTTGTGCCCTCTGGCAGAGATTCCTTGATAAGAAGACCTGGTCTAAATGCAGCATCTGTGCCATCAGCTAACTCCCTTATGAATTACCACAGTCTAGTCTGACAGTTCCTATCCTCTTTTGCTTTTCTTCTCCAAGCTCTTTAGCTCTGTCTTGCCTGTTTCTGGTTTCTGACACGTCCAGCTTTGACTTACTGAGCTAAGCTGAACCCAGCACAGAGTTTGGTAACAGAATGGCATGTTGATTCCCTTCTGACTCTCTCTTCCTTGTTTGCAAAACCACTGCACCAGACACTGGAAGTTAATTAGCAGGATGATGCTGTGCTAATTGTGTTAATTTACAAGGTTTTAGTCAAAGAGAATCATGCCAGGGCTGGCACTGCTGTCATGCTTCCGACTTAATGATTAAGAAATACTGAAAACAAGGTGGGAAGGATTGCAGTAATTACACAATAAATGAATAAAGCAACAGGATTCATTTGCAAATATATTTTACCACAATTGTACTAATTTGCATTTCGATTTTTTAAAAAGGATCCTTGTAGATACTCATTTGCAAATCACCATCTCAGTTAAAATTAAATCTAAATGCTGTACAGTGTAACTTAATCAAGCTTTTATATATATGTTAAAAATATTAAAGAACTTGCTACTCTTATAAATGCAAAAGATCTCCTAAATTTCCTTTTCTCTCTCCAAATTTAATATTTCTTAAAAAAAATCTTTTAAAAATAATCAGATGAAATTGAAAATAATGTAAAATCCTGGTTAAGTACAACTTTTGTCATTTCACTCAGACAAACTCTTAGGGTGAGTCACAGGAAGAATTCAAGTGATATTCTTAATTGTTTCTGCTTTCTCAATCATTACTTTTAAAGAGGGAGGAAAGCATACCGCAAAATGGATGAAATGACCGAAACCACACTTAAAGGGGAAAAGATGCAATTTTAATGAAGCACCATTTCAGGAATCATACTTTCATTAAATTCAACTGGAAATTATTAAGAGCAAATCACCAGGAACCAATCGCAAGTAATCAGTATCTAAATTCTTGGAGTATCATGGGATTTACTTCAAGCCTTATAAAAAGGCAAGAATATTAATGTGACTATAATGTAGAACCGTCTGAAAGACGGAAAAATTCATTAGGCCTATCATTTATTTCTAGGCAATTTCTAATAGAATATATATTTTAAAAAGATTATCAAAATACCAAATTGATGTAGCTATGCTATGAACAGGAATTTAATTAGATTGATACAGAACAAATGTGAATACTTACCCTGAAACAGGTCTCAGAACACACACATACCATACACATATACACATATACACACTTTAGAGGATGTGGCTTCTTTTGGTTAGCTAGCTAGGTCATTCTTGGCATAAGGAAAATGACCATTAAGAAAAAGAAAACTGCATATGACTTACAGTTAATATTTAAAAAGGTAGGGTTGAAGCAAGAGAATAGTGGGCAGGGCGCTTGTCTTGCACGGATTCTATCCCTGGCATTCCATATGGTTCCTTGACTACTGCCAGGGATAATTAGAGTGCAAAGCCAGGGGCAACTCCTGAGAATTGCTTGATGTGGTCCCCAAACAACAACAAATTTAAAAAGCTAATCTTTTGCCTGTACTAACATAAATTTTTTTCTTACAAATTATTGTTTTAGAAAATACACAAAACTTATTTTACTAAGTTATAATCACTATAAAAGAGAGGACTATAGCATTTAAATAAATAGGTCATTTTCACTGTGAATTTCTGCATAGTTTAACTCTAGCAAAACTAATTAAATTTCTTAAGATTTCTATTTCATCTGAAATTAAGCAAAGATCCTATCTATCAAAATTATTTATTTGGAACAATTACTGGATATACTATTGCTTTTTAATTCTTTGTTATTTTTGGATGTGCCTACCAAGATAGTTGAAAGTTATTTATTGATGCATACTAAATAACAATAGCCTTAGCAGGCCTGCAGAAGGCAAGATTGAGCTTTGATCAAATAACCTAAGGGAAAAGAAATATTCACATTCCTTCAAATATGAGTAGTTCTCACTTGTTATGGAATTACTAATGTTATTTGATAGCATAAGTTAGTATTAACCATAAATAGTTCTTATATTAGGAGCACTGTCCTCCCGTTGTTCACTGATTTGCTTGAGCGGGCCCAGTAACGTCTCCATTGTGAGACTTGTTACTGTCTTTGGCATATCTTAGTAGTAGTTAAGAAAAGCATAGTTCTGAAGATTGCCCTAGACCAAAGTGCCCATTTACTAGTTTTTCAGAATTTTTATTAGTAATTAAAAGCAGAGTCAAACTTGATTTTGTTGCTGCTATTGTTTATCAGTGGAGATATTTTGGATATAAAAAGGAGAAAAACGCAGCACCAAATGTTCTCGGAACAACAAAAAAATTACACTTCATTTCATTGCATTGCAGTGATCTCTGAGTAAGAAGCAGAACATATGTGTCACTTAATGTGGCACCAATACAGTAATTTGGGCTTTACAAACAGCTCTTGTATGGATATGCTTTGGAAAATGAAGAGAAAATCCCTCAAACAATACCATGTTCACATTATTAGAAGCATGACTCCAAACAGTAACTTCTACTGTTGCCTGGAAATAGCTTAAATAGATAAAATTTCAGAAAACAGTGGAAAGTACTACATATATGCATATATATATTTATGTATTATAGCTTATGAAGATAATTGAAGAACTGTACCTAAACATGATTTTTTATTTTTAAAGTGATTAGAAAAATCTTAATACAGCTGCCAAATTCAACACTGCAGTGTGTTTTCTTTTTAAATATGCAATTTAATAGAAAGTTGCACTTAAGATCATATAACAAGTGCTATATAAGAAAGGCTGATGTTAGAGTAAGAAGCCTGAGCACTTTATTTTATTGTTAAAGGAATTTTTTAAGATGTAAACGTATAAGTTTCTTTTCACCATAGAACTGGAAAGTTCAGATGCCGTTTTCCATTCTTATCACTACTGAATATTTCATAACTCAGATGTTATTATTAAACCATTACTGCTTCATTGATTTACTTACACCATTTTGCTCTTTTAATTTTAAAACAACTTGCAACATCCTTATGAATTCTATCACAGTCACAAAAGTACAGTTGTATAACAAAAATGAACAATATAAAAATGATGCTCAGAATGTGAGGAAAACCGAAATAAAGCAGTAAGCTTTCCACAAATCTATTTTTTAGCACGCATTTACATTTCTCGGAAATATT